AGTTGAATCTTCATGGTGCAACTGAGTAGGTATTTGTTCATCTTGAGTCAATTGATCTTCTAAATCTGAATGATCATTTTGAACATAATCAATTGATTATCTTGAAAATGAACTCAATCCCTTAATTTCCTCAAATGTACTTTACGAGGAAGGTCCACCTACTGAAAACAAGATCTTTGAGGAATTTTGCATTTTTAGCTTTACTATCGTAGGTGCGTGAGAATGATGAAAGAATTTGAACCCTTTGGAATTCATTGGATAACCAATGAAATATCCATTAACAGTTTTCGAGTCCAATTTCTTAACATTTTGATTATAAACCTTTACTTCTGCGGGCAAACCCCAAATGTGTAGATGTCTTAAACTAAGTTTCCAACCAACATATAATTCGAAAGAGTTTTTGGAACTGCCTTTGATGGAACCCGATTTAAGACATATACTGCTATCGTTAATGCTTTACCCAAAACTTTAATGGAAGATTGGAGGTACTAAGCATACTTCTTTCCATGTCCATAAAGTACGATTTCTTCTTTCCATCACACCATTTTGTTGCGTTGTCCTAGCATGGTGTATTGTGCAGCAATACCCTCTTCTCGAAGCATTTTGCAAATGGACTTGCATTTGACCCTTTTCTGTATATCATCCATAATATTCTCCATCCCTATTTGATCTTACAACCTTTATTTTCTTTTCACTTGTTTCCCTACCTCTGCTTTGAATACCTTAAAGGCATTTATAACCTCTAATTTATCAAACAAAGGTAAAGAACATGTATCTTATGGTCATCTATGAAAGAGATAAAATATCTCTGTCCATTTAGACTAGGTATGGAGAGGGTCCCTATATATCTATATCATGATCTCTAATTTATTAGTACTCTCTTCTAGCCTTTTTGTAGCTCTATTAGTTTTCTTTCCCTTTATACAACCACTACAAGTATCGAAATCAGTGAAGTCAAGAGTTTGTAAAACTCCATCATCCACCAACCTCTTAACTCTTGTATAGAGTATGTCATAATCTCTTATGCCACAACTTAGAGGAGTCCTCTTAATGATACAATGTTTGCTGCCATTCTCCTCTGCACAATCATAAGACTATGCTCAATTCAGGATCTAGATCAAACTTATACAAACCATCAAGTAATTTTCCATATCCAACAATAACATGGTCTTTTAGAATTTCAAAGATTGAATTCTAAAAGTAAATGCATAACCAAGTTTCACGAGTTTGGATACTAAACTAAATTTCTAGAAAATGATGGAATATAAAAAGTATTATCAAGATCCAATACATAATTAGAATTTAGAACAAGTCTGAAAGTCCCCATAGCTTCCACTCAGAATGCATCTAATTGCCTGAATAGATGCTTTGTTCATTCCCCACTGGTTTCCTTAGGTTTAGAAAGCCTACATGGTACTGGAAATGTAAATTGTACAACCCATCAATCCACTATGTCATTAGAAGCATCAACAAAATAAGATTCATGATATACATATGAAAGAAATGTACCTTTCTTCTCAAGCCAATTCTTGTATTTCAAGCATCGCTCTCCATGTTTCCCTTTTTCTTGCAAAAGAATCACAAACTTTGTAACCACTAGGATTACCATGTGCTTTACCCTTATTCTTGAATTTTGAGACACCTTTGCCTTCTTTCCTTTTCCTTTGAAATGTGCTACTAAATGAGCACTTTCCAAATTCTCATTCTTCAACCTTTCTTCCTCTTGCACACGCATTACTAAAGTTCATTAATGAACCAATCTTCTTTATGGGTGCATAGAGATTTTGAAAGGTCCATACTCATTAGGAAGAGAGTTGAGAATGAAAGTGACAAGAATGCCTAAGAAAATTCAATCTTAGGGACTTAAGTTGAGAAGTTATATCTCGCATTTCCATAATATTTTCCCGCACACCCTTAGAACTATCAAACTTCATGCTAAAAGTTTCTTCATTAAGGTGCTAGCTAATGCCTTATCAGATGTCACAAATTGTGCTTCAAGTGCTTTCATGAAATATGTCACCTTAGTGCACTCAGGAATGAAACTTCTAATAAGCTACTTATGTGGGTCTTATCTGCATTAAGCTTAAGCGATTTGATCACTCTCACTTTTCATATAACCTTTTCAGATGACATACTTGCATTGTAGGGACTGGTTTTCGTTCATACGAAATGCCAAATCAATATTCATACACCCAAGTATTAACGTTATCTTTTCTTTCCAATCAGAAAAGTCCCACCATTTAACACTGGAACTGAAAAGAATTATTAGCAAAAAACAATAGAAACAGTTGCAATAGCCAAGAATTTAATCATGTCATGCTATTGTAAACATACTTTATATTTGAATCAACCAATGTAAATTCAAAATTATAAATTCAAACTTCCTTTGGCCAGAGGTTTTAACTTGCATTGAATTTATCACTTATTAATAAGACTACTGAACATACATCACTCATAATAATCCATACCTTTGGGTATAGGATTTACCTAATCATGATACTATTCAATGTCTTATTCTAGTTGTTTTACTAAGGTAATTACCGCCCTTTGGGCCGGGCAATTATCTCTAAAGTTATATGCCATAAAACCTCATGAGTTAAAACAAAAATAACTTTATGTGATTATTGTCATGCCTTAAGATGCTTTGGCTACTCCTTCCAATATTAAAATATTCACTTCTTCAATATGGCAATAATAGTAATATCAACTTAAATTTATGTTGATCATATCAATTATGCATAGAAAAAATAACTTAATCTCGGCAATAGTTTTAATATAAATAATTTTGATTTGTAACGTGAAAAACAATTTAGCCTAGGGGTCAGGAAGTGCCGCTCTCACACAGGAGAACTGTGTTCGACTCTCATCAATGAAATTTTTCGCTTCTGTTGTGGCTGAATTTAAAGCATTCCTACTAGAACAAATAAATTAAATTAAATTAATTGATTTAACAGTTTCGTGAATCGACGGTCTGGTTCATTTAGTAAATTAAGACTCTCAACTAAATGATTATATGTTCGAGTCACAGTGACAGTTATTTTTTTTTTTTTTAAAATAGTAAACGACTTGTCATTGTTAAAATTTAAAGGAAAACGACTTGTCGTTTCTCTCAGCCTAGTCCTCTTAATCCCCATCCGGGTCTGCAACCGGATACCCGATCCGAAACAATCCCCTTCCAACCCGAAACTTCAAAATGCCATAACTCAATAAATTGAACTCCGTTTTAGAAGATTCAAAAGCCGTTCTTCTCATAATTTCACTGGGAATTTAATTTTCTAATTAGTTAAACTAAACATAATTCTCAAACATAAATATGAGATAACCAGAATTGAATAACCAAAACATAAATATTACATCATACTTCATTCATTATTGGACCTAGTTTGCCTCTATCAAAAACTCTGGCTGAAATGGCTGCATGGGCGTTCTGTGAAGAGAAAGGGATTGATTTAGTCACAGTTGTACCTTCATTCGTTATTGGACGTAGTTTGCCTCCCGATTTATGTTCTACTGCATCTGATGTCCTTGGCTTACTAAAAGGTTAAGGTTAATCTGTTTTTTATTATCTTCTATATGATTTTCTTCACAATCAGCATGCTTATTAATTCATTTAAAACAAACAGGAGCAACAGAGAAATTTCAGTGGCATGGCAGGATGGGATATGTTCACATAGATGGTGTTGCCTTTTGCCACTTCCTTGTTTTATGAGCACAAAATTTGTTGTGGGCGATACCTTTGGTGGATAACAACGACTTGGCATCCTTTTTGTCATCACGTTATCCATGTCTTCCTTTGCCTCGAAGGTCCTTAATTTCTTGTTCTTTATTTTGTCCTGCTACTTACCCCACGGATAACTTTTTTCAGGTTTGAAGAACTAAACAGAACATACTACGAGTTCAACACTTCAAAACTGACCACTTTGTGATTCAAGTTCAAATCTGTTGAAGAGATGTTTGATGATTGCATTGCTTGGTTTGTGCAGCAAGGTTACATAGAGCTTGAAATTTTTCTTCAATTTTCCTTTAGATTTTCAAATGAGTGAGGAACTCAATAAGACAAATGAATGTTCTTTTTTATTCTCTCCTGAAATCATTGTGATTAGTCTTTTAACAGTTTTTTTTTTTTTTTTAACTAACTCTGTCTAAGAAAGAAAGAGATGAAAAGAAAGGCAGTCATATCTTCTGCATTTAGAATGAACAGGTAGGTGAGACGTCACAACGAAGGCAGATAATAGAGCGGTACAGACCACAAAATGTCCAGTAGCCCAAGACCCACATACGGACACGTATCCACGTGATTATTGAGGGTTTTTGTGGCTGCAATTGCTGCCACTTTTGATTACCACCCGGCTGATATAGACTTTTTCTGGCCCAATGCTTCAAAACATTACTACTTGACACGAGTGGGATTTCTACTTTTGTTGTTGGACTAATGAGACTGAATTAAAAGTGGGTTTACTTTTAACCTGATATAGTATGGAAATTCACCTCGATTTTACCCAACTATAGATTCATAAACTCCTGAATAAACTTTTCCCACCCGACCATATTGCTATATTAACAGAAATTTGATTTGACAAATCTCCATGTGATGAGCAAAATGTAGAAGGGGATTGGCTAGAACAGGCAGTCTGAAGAGACAGTAAAGTCTGAAGATGATAGTTCTATAAATGTAAAACGGATAATATCCTTCTAATAATTTTCTCTCACTAATTTTTTTATCAGAATTTTGATATAATAGTTTATAATTAATCAATTTATAATTAATTAATGAGACTTACGTTGAGTCTTGAAAAAAAATTTATAAAAAAATATTATTAGTATTGTATTATTCAATGTGAACAGAGTGATTGGATTTGGATAATGGAATGTTATGGACGGTATAAAGCCTTAAACTTTGGTACTGTTATAAGACGTGGAGGTTTACAAGGCCGTGGTCCTTGTGTGTTTGATATGCAATGGGCACTCACTTTCCTATGTTGAAGTGATGGCGAAATTTATCTTCAAACAGTGTCAGATAGGACTTTTGTAGCCTCATAATTTGGGTATTTATGAAATGAATTCAATTCTGTCACTCAGAAGCCAAACGATGAAGATGATGGACGGCCAACGATCATGAATGGAAGGTCGTGATGAAAAGGCAAATTAAAAATATGGTTGTGACTCCCATTTATGATGAAATCTAAACGTTATCTTCCTCTTCACCTTCCTTTCTTTACAGCTCATTCAGTATCAACGGAAAGAAAGAAGAAAAGCTTCGCAGATAATAATTCATCCGTACGTACTGAACTTGCTTGTATGAAACACCAATGGATAATTGGCTCCACTTCAGCCACTCTGTGTTGAAGTTTGAGCTCTTTTTAATCTGAAACACCAGTGAGAATCACTTGCTTTTCCAATTCTCTTTCTCACATGTCATACTACACTACTTTTCTTTGTCAGTTGCCATATCCATATTTTTCCTTCGATATAACTACGGTTAATAATTTGAACGATTCTCACCAAAATTAGTGGAAATTCATTCCCTGTAGAAACAAATTTCAAGAGTAGTTGTTGTATCAGTGTGCATGTGTAGTTCAAATTTAGGAAAAAAAGATTTCAGTTTTAGACTTTCTAGATTATAAAATCCATTAAATTCAGGGGAAAACTCTGGTTCGGTTTCCGGCTTCAAGTTATTTCATTTAATATTATGAGCAGGAATTGTTTTGTTTCTGTTGTATTTTTTCTTGACTTGGGTAAAACATGCAGCATTCTGTTTCCCGTAACAGAAATTTCCGAGAATGGAGCTTCCAAAATCATCTGCAAATGATGATAAAGATCAGCGAAGATCAATTGAGGTGTTTGAACCGAAAGCAAGTGATGGTGTTGGACAATCGAGTAGTGTTAAACAGGAAGGATCATCAAAAACTGCCGCTTCCAATATCAGTAGCAACAAGGACTCTATTAAGAAATGGATGGCGTTTGAAAAAGAAGCGAGTGGTGGCAAGACGGAATCGAATGGGACTAGTCTCGAGACGAAAGGGAATCAAATATTAGCAGGAGCTAACATAGCTGAAAGGACGGCGGAATGGGGATTCGTGGTGCAGAAAGACGTCGGAGAAGGAAGTTTCATAGCCGTTAGTGGTGACCGGGGCAAAAATTCATCAGAAAGATTTGCAGTGGATTCCACAAGGACGTCAGAGGAATCAGAATCCGGGGCCGTTCCGAGAGTGTCTCAGGAATTGAAGGAGGCTTTAGCGACATTGCAACAAACGTTTGTTGTGTCTGATGCTACAAAACCAGACTGCCCAATTATGTATGCCAGCAGTGGATTTTTTAGTATGACCGGTTACTCTTCCAAGGAGGTCATTGGAAGGAACTGGTAATCATTGTCCTTCATCTATAATTTACATATAAAATAAAAAATCAATATATAGTCTTTAAACTTATGGGTGTTTGTGGTTGGTTTGCAGCCGGTTTCTTCAAGGTCCGGAGACGGACGGAAACGAGGTGGCCAAGATACGAGATGCGGTGAAGAATGGGACGAGCTACTGCGGGAGGCTGTTAAACTACAAAAAGGATGGAACTCCCTTTTGGAATCTTCTCACTGTCACCCCTATCAAAGATGACAGTGGCAAAGCCATCAAATTTATTGGGTTAGTCTTCTAATCTTCTCATGCCCCGTTCTCTCTTGGAACCAATTAACCCTCTTGTTGGTGATTATATTGAAGAAAACTGTGATACCTGTTATATGAACTCCCCAGTCGAATCATCATTTGGATGCTTACAGTTTTGTTGGGTCTTTTTCTTTTCCTAAACTTACTGAAGTCCAGGTTTTGGTAACTAATACTCTATTATAGTTTATAAATATATACAATAATTTGGGTTTTTATCATTTTCTGTTCTTGTAAACCGTTGTATTTGACTATTTTCTACAAATTATATACAATGTTTTTTTTCTAATGACATGTTCAATTCTGTTTTTGCAGAATGCAGGTTGAGGTCAGCAAATACACAGAAGGTATAAATGATAAGGCATTACGGCCAAACGGATTGCCCAAGTCGCTGATACGGTATGATGGTAAGCCTATTCAACCCCACTTTATACAGAACTAGAATTTAAATCCATTTCTAACTATTGACTTTCATGTTCATGTGGCAGCTCGTCAAAAGGAGAAGGCTTTATGTTCCATTACAGAGGTGGTCCAAACAATGAAACATCGTCAATCTCACAAGCCAACTGGAAGTCTTAGTACTATTGAAGATCTTGGAGAGCACGAGAAATTCAACCTTGATTATGCTTTGCCTAAGTCAGTTAATACACCTGATAGACAAAGTCCTCATATTGATAACACAAGGGATATGCCTCACACGAGTTCAGTTCAGGAAGTTGGCAAAAATTCTAGAAAATCGGGGCGCAATTCTTTTATGGGGTAAGTCTTTTTTGTTCAACATTACATTGCATTATTATGGCTACAGTGATGGTAACAATAAACTTTTGAGGACTTTTCAGTGTGTTTAGGAATGTTCTTTGTCTTCTATACAATTTTCAATTTGTGCTAAAAATAAGAACTATGATCGAACTGTTTGAACTATCAAAACCTATGCTTAACTTTCTGTATGCATAATTAGCATTATATATTGTCCAGCTTCTGGGCTTGCATGTCTGTAGATACGTTACTCAAATCTGCTCAATAAGTATCAGATTGGATAAGCATAGTAACATTTTCTGCAGGCATAAAGGGAGGTCTCTAAGCTTTCCAGTAAAGCATGAAGCTGAACGAAGTAATGCACCTGAAGTTTTAATGACTAAAGACGTAGAGCGTACGGACAGTTGGGACCATGCAGAAAGAGAGAGGGATATTCGTCAGGGAATTGATCTAGCAACCACATTGGAACGCATTGAAAAGAATTTTGTTATCACAGATCCAAGGCTTCCTGATAACCCTATTGTAAGACTCAAATGTCTGATTACGACCTGTTTTTTCGAAAACACAAGTAACGGAAAGCAACTTGTGTACCTGGATTTCACTTTGATTGGTACTGTATGTGCAGATATTTGCGTCAGATAGCTTTCTCGAATTGACAGAATATACACGTGAGGAAATTTTGGGAAGAAATTGTCGGTATGAATTTTAATGGTCTCTTTTTTGTTGAAGATATTTGTATGAACATGAAATTCTAAAGTATTTTACTGAACATGTTAGATATAGATGGCATAAATTTTAAGACTTCCGGAAGGTAGCAGAAATAATTTTACTTTGGAATGGCATTCAAAGATTAAGACTGGCGAGTCCTTTTAGGGAAACCAGTTTACCTATTCTGCTTGATAATAGTTTTAATTAGTGAAGGTAGATCCTTTTTGGTGTTGGTTTGATACGATTTCCTTGTGACAATTGATTGGCAATTAAAACTTTTGGGCTTATGGATTTAAGTTGATTCCTTTTCCTTCTCTCAAACTGCAATATGAATAGTGGTTAATATTAAGCATAAAAGAATTTATTAAAATTATTGTTGCTATGGTATCCTACTAAATTTATGGTTAATTCAGTGTCATTGTTTCATGTCAATCAGCATAGCTATTTGTGCATACTTGCAGTAAATTCAATGTCAATTACTTTATATGAATCAGTGAAGCAAATTGTTCATAGTTGTGGTAAATTTAATATCATTTGCTTTATATGAATCAGCACAGCAATTTGTTCATATTTACAGAAAATTCGAGGCCAATTTTTTTATATGAATCAACAGAGCATTTACTCTGCAAAATCACTGAATTTTCTCATCTATTCTCTGACATGTACCAGCTGTTATACAGATTAAAAATTCTTTCAGCAATTCCTATACCATTTTAATTTGATTTTTCAATTTACAGGTTTCTTCAAGGACCTGAAACTGATCAAGCAACTGTCCAAAAGATAAGAGATGCTATTAGAGAACAAAGGGAAATTACTGTTCAGTTGATCAACTACACTAAGAGTGGTTTGTAAAAACTTTTGATTTTCATATGGTGCAAATATACTATGAACTAGGATTTTTTTTTTCTTAGTATGTTTTAACTTTCCAAGTGTTTTACTTCACTTGAAGCTTAGTCAAAAGTTCCATATTGTGTATAAATTCCTTTTGGAGGTTAAATTATGCTCATGGAAGTATATTTTTATAGTTTTGTATTTTTCATCATTATGATTTTGTGACTTGCAGGAAAGAAATTTTGGAACTTATTCCACTTGCAACCCATGCGTGATCAAAAGGTGGCTGTGGGATCCTCATTCCAGTTAATTGTTTTCATTTCAATGCAGCTGGGTTGTATAATCTCTAACTTTACATTTGGAATTCATTATTAATTTTGCAGGGTGAGCTTCAATACTTCATTGGTGTCCAACTCGATGGAAGTGATCATTTAGAACCCTTGAGGAGCCGCTTGTCAGAGAATACAGAGCAAAAAAGTGCAAAGTTGGTGTGTATTTTTTTTTTTTTTCTTTCCCTTTTCTATACATCAGTTGCCATTGTTGGATAATTGCATGTTCAATAATTGGGTTGGCCAATTATTATAAGTGCTTGTGGTAAATCCATGTAGTCTTGAAAAGTGTGTTGTGTTTCTTTGTTAGGTTTGCACTTTGCACATCATAGCTCTTCTTAGTAATTACCTTTTAGTGATAGTCAAATAATTTAACTTGCTAAACTAATGTATCATTTCTAGCCATATTAACAATCACTAATAATTTGAAATGGCAATGTAAGGAAAGAGGCCCTACAATGTAAGATTTTGGTCATAAATCTTTGATTGTCTTAAAAGGGAGTAGAAGTAAACTACAGTTCTAATTGAAATATATCTATTTCAACACAAGAGCTTAAAATGGAAGTTCAGTTCTTCTCCCTTGTTTGTTCTGTGGAACTTTTCTAAGCTTTGCTATGGCTGTTACTGTTACACTGGCACATAGAGACAAAAAAATAATGAAGTACCAAAATAACAAGTATTAATACAAGGATTTGTACATTTTCATGCGGATAGTGTAATAATCATAAGAGAACAGAATGGTTCTGATGCGTGAAACGTTTTTGTTTTTCATTAGGTCAAAGCTACTGCTGAAAATGTTGATGAAGCTGTTCGAGAACTTCCTGACGCCAACTTGGTAAGGTACTCTTTTTGCTCTTTGTTATTAATAGTAGATAGCTCATGTCTTTATCATGGTTTAAAAGAGCACAAGTATCGTCTGTTTGTATTTATTAAGTGTTAAATATAAAGAAAAACAGATACCAATTAGATCATGCTTTCATTCTGTGGATCTTTCAACAACAATTAAGCAGAAAAAAATTTACCACATTCAAATATGCTTGTTTCTGAGATCCTACTAATGTTTACAATAAGCCGACTTTACATCCTGCAAAAAGTTCATATGTTCTGCTTTTACAAAGATTTTTGATAGCTTATAAGTATTTTCATTATATAGGTCTTTCAACATTAATTAAATCTCATAACCATTTCTTCACTATTATTTATCACAATGATTTGATATATTACTGAAGGCCAAAACCAAGCTATTCTTGAGCAATTTCATTGCATCTTAGCTCATGCAACTGAAATTTATAATATTTTTAGAGACCAGAAGACTTGGGCGATCCACTCTCGGCCTGTTTTCCCACGGCCACACAAAAAGCACAATCCTTCTGGATAGCGATAGAAAAGGTACCAATTTGTAGAGTAAGGCTCCTCATATAAAATTCTTGCTTGAAAACTTCATCTCCCATTGTATTAAATTATATAATTTGATGCTATTTAGATTTAAATTTACAGCTCTCTCCTCCTTTATAATATCTCCATTTTTTATTTTTTTTTCTTTTGGGGATAAACTATTTGAGCTTCATAGATCACTGGACGTGGTGAAAAAATTGTCTACATCATTTTAAGCCGATAAAACCCTTGGGTTGTGGTGATACTGGCAGGTAATTTTTCCCCTCACATGCTAGTATCCCTGAGATTTTCAAATTATGTTACCTTGATTTCCTTAACCCAACAAATGATACACTTGTGAAAATACATACTCCTCAAAGTCTCAGTATAATTTTTTTATATTCAATTGATAACTTCTAGTGTCATTGTTTCGTGAACTAAAATTTGAAAGTAGATCAGAAAGGTAGAAGGGGTTTGGGGGAGAGCCAACCCAAAAGAAATTTCAATAAGTTCCTTAGCGGGGATTGAATGGAGTCTTTATGGTGAAGAGGGAAGAAGAGATAAAAAAAAAAAAAAAAAAAAAAAATGGATTCTGTAAGGTTTAAATAATTTTGTTTTTTCAAACTTGAATAAGGAATCAACATTCAGATTTAAGTTTAAAATCCTGGACGGTGTGGATAAGGCGCTTATTTATGCCTAAAATAGTAGGGTGAGTTTCTAGGTTCCTGTAATACTTGTGCATGGAGATTTACTTACATTCAAAATCTTGTCTCTCATATCTGCAACTAATTACTAAGACTGTTGTTTATACTAAGTCAGTGGTACATAAATTAGAGGTTTCTATTCCTGCTTAAAATTCTATGGTATTTGTTGCAGCGTTCACTGGTGGAACGCAGGAGACTGGCGAACTGTATGCTATGAAGCAATGGAAAAATCTATAATGATAAATCGTAACAAAGGTCTGAAATATAGTATGATCAAACTCAACTTTTAAATAAAAACTTTAAAGAGAAAAAATTGCTTCATAGTGCCAATTTTGTACAAGATTAATATTTAATCTTTGTTCTGGTGTTAGTGCACCGAGTATGCGCTGAAAGGGAATCATGTCATTACTCGATCATCCTTTCTTCCGACACTCTATGCTTCCTTTCAGGTATTCTTATGTTTCTGTCTATATCTCATTTTCATAGCACTATAAAACTTTGCTTACTCCAAATGAAAAAGAGAAAAATTTAAAACTTTTGTGCACATTTTTGTTGTCATAGTTTTCTTGTTGATGTTTAAATGCTTCTATACCAAATCAAACTCAACTAAGCTCAATCTTGAAGTAAATAGGGGAGGAATGCTTCGTTAGAGCCCAACACCTAGTTTAGTTTGGTCCGTGTTATACATGAAGGAGGCTGTTAGAGGAGCTTAATCTAAGTTAGGCATACTGCAATTTTGCCTATATGACCTTTGTAATGATAACATCATAAAGAAATATTTGTGTGTCTTTATGACTTTCTCTTAATTTCTAGTGTAGAATATCTTCCTATTTACTTATTTTGTCAATGTGGATGCTCGAATTCTGCAATTCATGCACCTTTTCTCTAGTTGGCATGAATTTTGACAAATTCTATGAGGCTGCTTTACCCTCCTGGTTTGTCTCTATAGCTTCAGTTGTAGAAAACAAAAGAAGGGTGGAAAATAATAAAGTTCAACCAACCTAAATTTTAGTGTAGAGTAAAACATCAGAAGAGGAAAAACATATGCAGACATGTGATGAAAGTCAAATGAGGAAAAAGAAAAGGGAGAAATAATGCATATTACACAATAATCAATATTGCAAGTCTTGATTCCAACCGAAATAAATCTCTTATCTATGTTGCCGAAACCTAAACTAAATAGACAATGGAAATCTACCCTAGGAAAAAAATCCCAAGTAAAATGGAAAAGAAATTTCTTAAATAGGTAAAGAAGGTATTCACATCCTTTCTCTTTGAAACTGAGAGATCCTGCGACTGTTATCTGTTTTATGTTTATATTGATCATCAATCCAATACCCTTAATACTACAATTTAACATATTTCATTAGAGTCATATCAAGAAATTTTCTTGTTTGGTTTCTTAAAATGACTTAGTAACTGCAGTAATAAGTACTAATGTCTCTTTATCTTCTCAGACTCCTGCCCACATATGTTTGATAACAGACTTTTGCTCTGGTGGAGAGTTATTTGCTTTACTTGACAGGTAGTCTATGAAGTTATTTAAAGAGGAATCTGCCAGGTACTTTCATCTGTTACCTTTGAAGGTATCTGATTATTTCTTGTTGAACGACCAGAAACTCTGCTAAAGATATACTTTCAATACAACTTAAAGCAAGTTATTGAAGTATGTTGCTTGCAGATGACTGACCTAGAGAAAATTCAATTACTTTACATTTATTCTTGCTAGAGTTTGCTGGAATTTGAGACTGGCTGTTTAATATTGTTTTCCTTTTTCTTTTCTTTTATTTTTCTTTATGTCTGAGCTTATTGTCCAGATATCATGCCCTTGTTATGTTGTACCATCTTGATAAATATCTAACAATTAGTACTTCTCCAGGTTTTATGGTGCAGAGGTTGTCATTGGCTTGGAATATCTTCAATGTTTAGGTATTTTGAGCTCCTGAGAACTATATTTGCTTTTTGTTCAGATAAATTCATTGTGTTATGTTTCCTATATCATAATTTGGAAAAATATCAAGTTATTTATGTGAGTTCGTCACTGAACAGTAATCATCTTTGTTTGAAGTATTAGGAAAATGTCAGAGTCCATATTTTCATTGGATTCGAACAAAAAGATTTTGCATCATTGTAAAAAGGAAGTGAGAGAGATGGTCTCCAATGGCTTTTAGAAGAAAATCTGTGCATGAGAAGTTTTGTTGTAAAGTTGAGTAGGAGATATCAGCTAATGATGGAAGTGAGAGACATGTTCTCCAATGGCTTTAAGATAAAGAAAATTAGTTGGCTGCAATCCAATAATTTTTTATAACTAATTCATGTCATTAATCTTGTGCTTTTTTCTATTTTTGTTGGTGATGACCCTGCAGGAATAATTTATCGGGACTTGAAGCCTGAAAATATTTTACTCCAGAAAGATGGGCATATAGTATTAAGTGACTTTGATTTATCATTCATGACGTCCTACAAACCCTAAGTATGTTACCACGTTCCTGTTATTGTTTATATTTTCATTAGGATATGCACTTTGTCTGTTTCCTGAGTTATGTTCCCTGAGCATGGATAATATGAGTTAGCTCAATTTATCAACTGTTTATTGGAGGGTGTTCAGTTGCCCTTTTCTTGTTACTGGTATGCATGAAAAAGATGATTTTCCTTTTAGGAAGGTTGTTCGATAGCAAGACGGACACTTCCTTTTAGTTATACCGATATAAATTGCATGATTTGTAGGGTACTACCTATATTATAGCTTTTGAGGTTTCTTATAGGTGTACAAAGTCTATGAAATAAATCTTGCCCATGCCAGGGTTGGAAGGTTTATGTTTGCTGGATTAAAGTGTGTAAAAAAATAACTATCTTTATATAGTCATTCTTTCTCCAGCGTTGCAAGGTTATGAAAAGGATTCCTTGTAATCTCTTGTCACCACAGAATGTGCTTTTGTCATGTCTACACATAGAATTTGCAAACAATTACATCTTTCCAGAATTTCCAATCTACTTTGATACTTATCAAATGCTTAGAATGGGAACTATGACTACCTTTACAGGCTATAAATTTTACTACTTTTGCAGATTATTAAGCATCCACCACCTAATAATAGGAGAAGATCCAGGAGTTAGCCACTGCCAACATTTTTGGCAGAACCAGTTGTAGTGTCAAATTCATTTGTGGGAAGTGAAGAGTACATTGCTCCTGTAAGAGATTCAATTTTTCCCAGAGCTTATGCATTTCATGCTATTTGTGATACTCTGTTAGCTTGTTAATGTCCATTTGCTTCATCTGAAATGGAAGGTTTAGATAATATTTGCTGCATGAAAACTTTTTGTCTAATTTGGTTTTTGAAATTCTAGCTAATAAATATTAATTGTTCTTTTCCTGCTCTTGTTTGTTTCTACAATCTGCATTATCATGTATTTAATATTTGTTATTCGATTTCAGGAAATTATTACAGGTGCAGGCCACAGCAGTGATATAAATAAAAAGGCTCTTAGTAAGCACTCGCTGAAGCTGAATACATGATATCATGATCGTTTTGTGTTTCCTCTTCTTGTTATTTCTTTTAAATGATATGTTTCAAAAATGCTAGTCTTTTAAATGATATGTTTAAAAAATGCTAGTCTTAGATTCATCTTACCTTCTAGATGTGGGAATTTAAATATTACTAGCTTATATTTGTGCTTTGAATTCATTTTATGTCTGGTATTCAGTTATTTTTTTGTATGAGATGCTCTACGGTCATACACCTTTCAGAGGTAAAAATAGACAGAAGACATTTGCCAACATTTTGCACAAAGACCTCACTTTCCCAAGTAGCATTCTGGTAAAAATCTGCCGCCTTTTAAGTCGGTTAAAATTATTCTCTTGTTATTCTGGTGAGTCAGTGGATATTGTATACATGCTCAAGATCTTGAGGTTTGGTCAAAATATGGATAATCTCTTGAACTTAAATTGATGAATAGTTAACAATGGAGAACATTTAACAAGTGAGTATTAACCAAAAACTTCTTTTGGAAAGGTAGCGGATACCTTCCTGAGAACATCATGGCTACAAAGTATATTGGGTCTAAATTTTCACTGCCTTTGATGGAAATGTGTACCAGCTATAAGTTTTAACTGGCTCGGAGATGTCAACATGAATTTAGAAGTGATTGATGATGATGAACGGGGGCTTCTCTTCATTGAACTTGCCAAATTAGTATTCCATTTGGGCAGAACATTTCGGTTTCATGAGATGAGCAGGCAACTGATGTTAATTTGCTCGATGTTTCATTCCAAGTCAGTCTTGTAGGTAGACAGCTGCTTAATTTGTTGTTAAACAGAGATCCCGCAGATCGTTTAGGATCAAATAGTGGTGCCAATGAAATTAAACAACATCCTTTCTTCTGCGGAATCAATTGGCCTCTGAAGATCATGGCAAGAGCTGGGGTCCCCAAAGCGAAAATTTCAATACTGAGGTACGTAATGTTAACTTTATATTTTGATCTTGTTGATCAAATAGGATTTATTTTAGTATTGATGAATGTTATTATCATATCAGGTCATGGAAGGAGGTGAGGCAAATTGATCGTCA